ACGGCAGCCCGACGTGAACTCTTGTAAACTGACCTGAATATAGAGCATCAGCTTGCCTTTCCGTGTGGTCGTATGGCAACACTTCTCAATTGATTTGCACTTAGCCGTGCCGCCGTTGGCCGTTACCGATTAGTTTGTATTGAACTCAATGAATTTGATATACTCATTTTTTACAGGTTGACGTTTTGAACCGTCGGTTCCTGTCACGATACTGTCCGTAGAAGCTAATCGATTTTCGAGCGAGGTCTACTTAAGCATGCTTATTGAAAAAATCGGAGTTTGTTCCTTTGTTTGACTATGAAAACTGTATTTTCTGCTTTCACTTTATCCCGTCTGCTTCTTTTTTCACTTTCTCTGCAGATTATAGCGGATCTAAGTACCTTTCTACGAAAAGTGATACCAGACACTCGGTTAACGATAAAGAAGTATCTAGATGTTAAATTCGAGTACCTGGTAAGTTTTTCTCACAGCCTTCAATTTTCACTATTGACTCGGCACGTTGTACTGCCTCCCTGTGATTCGTTGGTGGATTGGAGCTGAAAATGGAGTAGAAGAAAGTAATTCTCCAATCCATGTGTTTCTAGCTGAAATCCTTTGAGTTGGACCATCTTCACTTGGGCTTTATAGACCTCGCCGCTATGTCCAGTTCTCCTACACTTCTGCAGTCTGTGACTACATCGCGGCCCTGTGTATCCTGTTGTTAGAGACAGTCGCAACAAGGATGAAGGAGGAGAATATTCTTGCACGCGCAGTGCATTGTCCACTGCATTCGCCCATCTCAAATAGCCTTCCATCAAATTTGTTTGACGACAACAGAGCAGCTTCGGTGGAAAAAACTAACGGACTCGTTTCATTTCTTGAGAACAATGAGAAGACGCGATTGGTGATATGTCACATTTCTTCTATTTCCACCAGTCATCTGCATAAAACAGACTTCTTTAGTTCCACCACGTCTAATGTCGGTGAAAAACACAAAATGTTCAAAGGCCAATGTGGCAGTCGGAGAACAGTGCTGAGGTTTTATACACAGAAATATTGCTCCATAAATTTGCTTGTCATCACCTTGCTACTTGATGGCTACGGGAGGGGGTTCGATTACGTGGCGGAACTATGAGTGACTGCGGGATCCATCGATTTGCCTGTATTTGGTAGGTGTCTCGTTGTGGATTGATAACTAGTCGGTTGTAATCGCATTGCACATGCGGGGTTTTCGTTACGTATCCAGTTATTCTTTGACGGAGAGCCTATCTGCTACAAGTGAATATATATATATATATATATATATATACTACATAAAGCAGCTGACGCTATACGAACGCTGAAAACGGATACCAAATGACGAGGCGGACTCAGACAAACTTACCAACGTCCATGATGAAGGGGACCCTACACTGAACAGCACAGAAGCTACAATGAAATGTAAGTAGTTGGCGGAAGCAGCCCTGAACTAACTGGGAACGCACGAGACCATGCACTGATCGAAGTCCCTCAACGGCCGTAGAAACGCCAGTTACGGAAGATGGCAGAGGAACGCCCTGCGTTCCGACACAAGCGACAGCCCTGCATGTTTCTAATTCACCTAACTCAGTGTCAACGAGTAAGAGAGGAAAGCAACACTATTGGGTTTTTTTTATTACCGGGCTATCGGCCCGCCCAAGGGTCCGCAGGAAAACCCCGAACCGCCGACTGACGGACCGTGGGAACGGTTGTGAGCGGACTAAAACAAGGCACCACTATAGACTGCGGATGCCTATCAGAGCCATGTCAGAGACCAGAAATGGAAATATATCGTGATGTTTTGGGCAAACTGGATACGCATCTCAATGAATATTCATCATATTTCGATGGGCGGTTTTTCAATTTTTTGACGAAAGTACTTTCGAAAATTTAACTTCATTGGGCGAATACTGAGGGACTAGAGGATATGAGATATAATTTAGTTGCAGTTACAATTCAGTTGCGCTGTAACAGAATCCCCAACAGTTACAGCTGCCGAGGTACTTGCAAATTCCGTTTGTGGTGAGGCATTCACATTCACCAGCAAGTTGTGACATCATATTTCATTAGACACCATTTTCCAATCCCAGGTTTTCCCTGGCATGGAAATTCACCCACTTGATCAAATTCACTATGCAGATAACTTGCATAATACCGCATTACACATGAGCATTTCAATCCGAGGAGAAATAACCTATGGCGTTTTGTACCTTTATTTTGCTTCCATTATAACACCAGGTATTTGTCGATTGCATAATTGTTTTTTGTTTGAATATGAAAAGCTTCAATAACGCGCACTTGTACAATTTCACGCAATACAAACGTGGTCACGGGCTCCGTCTCTCTTCTGATTTCGCTCGCGGTCATTCGCGATTCTCATGTGCTAACTCTTGTATCAGAACATGTCAGAATTTCTTCGGAATATATATTTATGTGGGAACTGTTCAGAAGAGGACCCCTGGACAGCCATGAATAAATTATTTTTCATTCGCTGACCTGGGCCAGCGAAGAACTATCTTAAACAGAACAATTATTAGCGAGTCTATTCCATTTGACCTCTTAATTATTGTGCACCCAATCTAGCGTCGTTATTTTTATCCCTTTGCCACACAACTCCTGGCAAGGTACCTTGGTGGCTAATCAGACCACTACAAACCTCGAAATCTTCGTAGTTTCTGAGAGATCTTTTCCATCCGCCGAATACTGTTTGGCCATCTCCTGCCCGGATACACGGATACAGAATCCTGTGTTCTCGCAACGCTGTAAGCGCTGATGCGAATAGTCACACTGATAGAATAATTCGTGAAATGCGGAATGCTTGTAGGATGCTCAAGGAGGTAAGCCTTGCAGAGGATTGAAGTGTGGTCGTAGGACGAGTCTTTCGTTGCACCTTATCATGTCACCCTGGAAGTGTTCCGGTCCCTTTTAGTGCAGGCGGAGTTCTCCATTGGACATGACAAATAATTACAGACTGCGTAGTCGGCCTGTTGTTGTCGCCAGTAGTTTGTGGTTATTTGTATGCTTTGTGAGCCGCTTATTGCGAACCCATCAACTGAGGCCTACCCAGACCGGCGAAGGGGCCGCAACTCTGTGTTGAAACAGCCGTCGTTGATTGCACAATACAAAAACGATAACCTAGGTGACGCACATGTTTAACATGCGGCTAGATTTCCACTGGCAAGCTAGAGCCTACATCAATCACAGAGAACAGACCAACGAACGAGTAGTATGCGCCCATCACCTATGACGGGAAAAGCCAACGGTTCCACCCGTACGAGAGGAAAGGCCTAATTTTACCGAGTGTTTAAATGAGTATTCGTGCCCTGTCAGGAAAGGTACCGCACACTCTGTGCACATTGTCACGTTAGCTTTTGGGATGCCGAAATGAGGCGAAGATATATTATTTTTATGAAGGAAACTACTCCAAGATTACTAAGACCTTCTCGGCAACCCAATAGAGAGGCGCATTTCTTGATCCTTCGTTAGACTCATGTTTTTTAACCCCAATTATCGAAGTGTCAGTATGTGGGAGGCAACTGACAAGCTCTATAAAGTGAGCGGTGAAGTGGTGACAGCCTCTGAGGCATCACATGGGCGATGTCATCTTCAAATGCTAACCCGTTTTGTGTTATATCCCCTAGCTGATGCTGGCTGAGTATTAGACTCTGAAAAAAACGATAAATGCTTCTAACGCATGATCTCTTAGTATTGCACGAAAAGACCGGAATCAAACGAAGGGTGAAACTGATAGTAAATTAATTGGTCGCTCAGCTAACTTTAAGGTGTGTGCTTACTTAGCCGAAGCCGCGGCTTAGCTTGAACATCATATCAAGATTGCAGCTGCGGTCCGGTAGGTACAGTTTCGTGCTGCACACTAGATCACTATCTTCACTTTCTTAAGGCTGGCACTATAAAGCATTGGTACTGGTATTGTGTTGTTACACTGTGGCTACCGATTTGCCCCTCCGTGAAGCCGAAAATGGTAACACATACAGATTTCGCGGACTAACTGTGCTTGGATTCTGTGCTTTGGTTCCAATCAACATCATGGCATACCGGCCGGGCTTAGACAGCACATATCTACAACAAAACGCGAGCTCAACTTGGGGGCAACCCTTAAAATCGCCACCACACGGCGCTCAGTATTCGCATAATGCCTTTAAATTTTCGGAAAACATGACATGTCCCTGATAGACTACAGCAACCGGACAGTTGAGTTAAGAGTACAAGTTCGAACTTTTTGCCTTATTTAGGCATCACGGGGTGTCGGCGATGTTGGGAAATTATCCCACTATAGTTTTCAGCCACAGACACGGATGATTTAATGAACATTCGAATTTGGTGAGCTGCAAAAATACGAACGTAGATTACTACGGATTTCGGCTCGATCAGATTTGCGACAAAATGCAACCTTTTGGTGAAGAAAGTTTTCCTCCAATTGGAAACGTTTCAGCTGAAAGCATTGCGCGGATAATTAGCAACCCTTCACAGAGCGTGCGGGGTCATCGACACATCGGTGAACAATGCATTGTAAGCTATGTCTTGGCAACAGTGGTCAGGGCGAATAATCGACACGGCGGAAAGCCCACAAAGTCCACAAAATGTGCCCCGAAACCAACGCGATGAAGCCCATCATCCATGGCAAATGAAGGCAGGTCTTCCCTTGAGCACCGCCGGGACAATGTCTACCCTTGGACACTCCACTGCCGATGAAGTTCCCCGGTTGCAGAAACCGAAGTATGTCCACAACCAAGTTTGAATGCTTATGCAGGCCATCTATAAGAGACCAAGTTTGCTTGGGTAATGTAAGTAATGTGCCATGCCCCTTGTGTGATACAACCAGGAAACCAAAGTTTTGGATGGGGAAGTGACCTGATGATACATTTACAAATAACGCCTCCTAAATTAGGTGGCAGAAAATAAATAGATATAGCTGGGCATACACCCTAGCGGAAAGATGTTGAAAACAACCGCTATTACCAATCCCGTGCCCTAATGTCGGAATAATATTCGATAACAGACAACACAGCATACAAGCGAAAGCAGACTTTCCGTGTGCCTCGCAGAATTCAGAGCGCACTTTTGCTATTCACTCCATCCTATCCGATTGACGTTGGGTGAACGTTCACCATCATCGACTGTTGCCTCCTGAAATGCCTGGACACTCGCCATTATCGGTCGTTTCCCAAATGAATGATTGCCCGAGCATTCAACCGAAATGGGCATTTCTGACCTGGATGTTAGGCGGTTTCTCTGCCATGATTTTCAGGTATTTTGCGGTACTCATCAGGTTGACGGATTCTGGGATTATGTTCAGGAATATGACTTTAATAAAAGTTTGGCGCGTGGATTTACTAGCACAGTTGCCGCCCGTCCGGGAGCACTTGAACATTTTGTCTATGATATACTAGTCAGACAACGTGGATTTTTTCGACTTCTAGTTCTTGGCTGCGAAGTCTCATGTGCTCCAAGATTAGGCAGATTGTGTATGTACTCATCGTGTAGATGAAGTGTAGGACGTTGACAGTGACCTCCAGTATATCCGTTCTCTTACGTTGGTAAAACGCTGGAACATTGAATAACCGCACTGGCAACTCAGCGTACCGGTCTACACGGATGGCACGCTCAAGAGTATCTAAGGACTGCGGACGCATTTCCGGACACATGCGGGCGTTTCCCGAACGATTTTTGGTTACACCACCGAAGCGAGCAATCACGGTTGCGCGTGCAACACATACATGCGCCTTGAAATAAGGTACGAATCGTGAATCCTTTGTGCATAGCGGGTCAAAACGGAATTTTTGTGCTTATAATATGATAGATGGAAAACTTACTGTACGTCATGGTGCTTACGAGCCGTGCGACGGTGTGTGTTGGACGTTTGCAGAAGGCGTGTATGATCAAAATACATGGACGCTGTATGATATGTACTAGTTTTCTGATTGCATTTCAAACGAAAGACGCCACAGCATTAGGTCACCACCGAACACAAACCTGGCTCATCGCATTTTCGCCGCAAATATGCCCATGGCGAACGTCTTCACTGGATCCTATTTACACAACATCTTCCTGAACAAGCCAGAATGTTTACTCACAGGAGCGAACCGCTCGCTCCCAAAAGAGACGTAGACCACGGGACACGCGGTACCCATGACATATGCGATTAGGATGGTGTAGAGCCTCTTTATGCAAGCCCACCCCTGCTGTTTCAAAAAGACCCATTCAAATATGTTATCCTCATATGTATTTTTGACATTCACGAAGTGAAGTGAAGGGAAGTGATGGATCATCGCTATCCGCTGCCATCTAGCAAAGCATATATGGCCGTAGTGACCTTTTGGCTGCAACGTAGGAAAACATCGGGCTGACAAGAATTAGCCGTGGTTAAAGGGGAGTCACCCACCAAGCTAAAGCCCGAATATCCGTCGCCCACACAGCAGAGCAGTTTGACACATTCGTCGGCATTTGTACACCTGAATCTATGGGTTCCCTGTCTCCAAAATTTGCATGTCTATTGCTCATTTGACCATGGCACTGCATAAGCTCGACTCGTATCTGGTTAACCGTCGAGTTTCAATAACTCGATCGGTCAAAACCTTGGCCAGCCCATGATTGTGTCCGAAATTAGAAGGGGTGATTGAGGGCCGGTTTCCATGACTTCCTAGGCGAAACCGTAGTGAACAACCAATGCTTCGTTTCCACCTTGCCATTGGGAGCTAGGTTCAACCTTCCATCTTTTTCCCATCCCTTGACTTTTGCTTGGTTTTAGAGGGTCAACCACTTCATCCATAGTAAACCTAAACGCAAGGCAGAACTGCGTTCATGCTTTTTCCCTCCAAGTGCACAAATATAATACCCCTATCTTCCAGGCATTCATTTAACTCTCCAATACTGTGAAGGATTCAAACCGGTCAGCTATCAATCCCTCATTTAACATATTTGACATCGAACCTACCAAATGCTGAATCACAGAAGTGTAACTTCAAAGGTGAACGCCGAAAAAATACAAAGAAAGATTAAGCGGTGCAGATGTCGGACAGATTACGGTTAATTAAGTTTGATCATAGATGCAGGGACATAAGGTAACAGGCAATAAAACAACCGTGTCTACATTGTGGACTCAAAATGGGACAAATCGTAAAAAACGCCTTTTCAAAGCACTATGCAAAGAGGCAGGCCGTGGCGGGAAATAGCAGAAATCCTAACTATTTTTCTGAGGTGACAATACCTGATTTCATATACTCTAATCGATGTTCAGGTGGAGATGATAGGTGTGTTGTCGATGAAATGGGTGTGGGCACATTTATTATGAAATAAGCCATTGGCTTAATTGTGCTCAACCAAGGTAGCTTGAAGCATTCGGGTGTGTGAGATCAGAGAAAAGCGTGAGATATCTGATGAGGCTGCGTTTTTGCACGATGAAATAACATGAGAATGGCACTGTAACAGCCTAAAGATTACCGTGTAGGCTTCGAAAACAAATAGCCCGTGAGTTATCCTACAGCGTGTATTTGGTGAGTGAGATGCTCGGTGCAATGCAACTTGGTTTTGTTTTTCCCACCTGCAAATTTGTGAAAGAATTCTTTTGTTGTTCAGTCCCTCAACGGAGTTCGTAAGCGTAGTTTGTCAAGTCATCCCCCTCAAACACAACTTTTGTGATAACCTCTGTCAGTTGGCATAGACTCAATCGTGGCCAAGATAACTTCAGGCTGCCCTCTACAGCGATCGATGGACCACAACAGATGTGGGCGAAATGGGCTTCCGTAGAATGTAAAACGCGGTGTACGATGTCACACCTGCAAGTCCTGGCTCGGGTTTACAAGACGATACCTGAATACTTGGATACTTGACGCAAAACTGGCGCTAATTCCCAATGCTCTGGAAGATATAAACACAAAGAACACAGCAACCTGGACAAAATCTGCTAATGCTCTTTCCTTCCTAGTGGACAGGCGCACAAGGGAGAGCAGTCTGGTCATTTTGGGATCCTTCTCGAAAAAAATACACCTACGATGCAGACACAGTAGCTTGATAGTAGCGTCCCCACAAAACCTGACCACGAATCGCTTCACGCAAATTGGTGATGACAGGTTGGAAGCAAGCAAAAGCTTGCAAAAGAAAGGCAGTCAAACAAACCACATAAGCTTTGCGAAATCAGAAATCCACTGGCTAGCTCCAAATTGCAATCTGTGGAAGGGGGGCTCTTGGGAGCACAACTAAAAGAAATACTTACAGTTGCTGACATCCAACGCTGGGGACCTCACAGCCGCACCATATCAATCAAACCGCGCCAAAAGGCCAAAGAAACCGAACGGACTCATCTTTGTTCCAAATACTTGAACAATGGCAAATCCAGTCGTTTAAATCTGACCCCTACGAGCGACCTACTGGTAATAGCGGTCGGAATTTTTGCACTCCAGATGATCACTCACTTACTAAGAAGGTAAAAGGTTCATGCAGATCAGGCTCCCACACTCCGAAGAAAACCCTGCAAATGAAAGTGTTCTGAGAGCCACTAAAAGGCGAAACAAACAAGTATGCCGTAGTGGTCAATTCAGAAACTTGGTCTCAAAACAGACGTACAGTTATTAAATTTGCCACATATCTGGTTGTTCAGATCTCGGCTACTCACATTCGCAGGAAGAAGAGATAATGATGGGATGCTTTCCCACAGCATAATTAAGCCTTTTCCACAAAGGCTGCGATAATAGAAAATCAGTTGGCTTTGAACAGTCTTCCATAATCGCACTCACAGTGACTTGGCTCACACCAGATGTTTCTGACGTGGAGATCTCAAAAAGACGGCTGCTCCGTTTTTCAAGCTGACTCAAAACGAAGGGGGCTGGCAGGGTTCCTTTTTACATACATGCGACCATGCCCAACGCAAATGTCTTTTGTCATACAACTCCTGCACCTTTTTGTCCAAACTCCGCTGCGCATGACCGATTGTTTGCTCCTCGGCGTGGTCTACCGTTGCCCGTCGTGCCCCGCAGAAGATGACCAATTCCGCATTTACACCGTTGAGCAACTCTCCTCTAGGTGCCACTTCAAACACCCTGATGCTAGATGATTTCATCGCTCCAAAGACACTCCGGCTGGAGCTCCAGCGCGTCGAATCAAGTGGACTTTTTGCAGCGGCACTGAACAGAGTCGTTCAACAGAGCGCTTGGACTCAACATGTCTGCACCCACCAGCTACCATTCAGGCCAAATACCATCCCTTTTTGATTCAATCAGCTCCGAAGAAAAACACCTCGTGAATCAAGCGATGCATATCGCTCCATTGTGACATGGTGACCGCGGTGTGTTGGTCCTTGATTTCATCCGTTCTTGGGCCAGAAATCCCGAACCTAAAAGGTGAATTCGAAACTTCCGCCATGTGGACTTCTTAGAAATGCGCATATTATTTGAACCAAGCCAAATTGACCAGTTTCAACGGGAGGCCGAAATATGACATTCGTCCAGAAAGTTAGAGAGGCTCACTCGATGTTCCTCCAAAAAACAGCACGCAGTCGGACGGGCCGCAGGCTACGCAAGAGGATTCGGCATCTTCTGGAAGAGGTCCCAAATTTTTTCAAAACACTGACTCCAGGAGATACCGAAAATGAGTGGGCGGTTCGTAAACGCGCAACCACTGTAAACCAGAAGTCTGTCAGTAGAACGTACGGAAACAAGTAACCATTCTAGACTTCGCCCGGAAAACAGGATTGCACTCACTTACTACATGAGACAGTGCCGCGGAAATAAGCCAACTACGTTC